CCTAGGATGCAAGGATAATTCAATATTCCCAAATCAATCAATGTGATACATCACATCAACAAGAGAAAAGAACAATACGATCATTTCAATAGAGGCAGAAAAAGTATTTGACAGAGTACAACATCTATTCATGATAAGAACCCTGAAAAAACTACGTTTAGAGGGAACATACCTCAACATAATAAAGGCCATATATGAAAAACCCACAGCTAACATCATACTCAATGGTGAAAAACTGAGAGATTTCCCCTAAGATCAGGAGGAACAAGATAAGGATGCCCAATCACCACTTTTATTCAACATAGTACTGGAAGTCCTAGCCACAGCAATTATACAACAAAAAGAAATAAAAGGCATTCAGAGTGGAAAGGAAGAAGTAAAACTTTCACTATTTGCAGAGATATGATACTATATATAGAAAACCCAAAGGACTCCACCAAAAAACTACTAGAACTGATAAATGAATCAGTAAGGTCACAGGATACAAAATCAATATACAGAAACCTGCTGCATTTCTATATACTAATACTGAAGTATCAGAAAGAGAAATTAAGAAAACAATCCCATTTACAATTGCACCAAAAATAATAAAATACCTAGAAATAAACTTAACCAAAGAGGTCAATGTCCTGTATTCTGAAAACCATAAAAAACTGATGGAAGAAACTGAAGATGACACACACAAAAATGGAGATATTCCATGCTCATGGATTGGGAGAATATTGCTAAAATGTCCATACCACCCAAAGCAATCTGTATATTTAATGCAATCCCTATCAAAATACCAAGGATTTTTCACAGAACTAGAACAAATAATCCTAAAATTTGTATGGAACCACAAAAGACCCTAAATAGCCAAAGCAATCTTGAAAAAGAAGAACAAAACCGGAGATATCACAATCCCAGATTTCAAGATTTACTACAAAGCTGTAGTGATCAAAACAGTGTGGTATTGGCACAAAGAGACACATAGATCAGTGGTACAAAGCAGAGAGCCAGGAAATAAATCCACAATTATATGGTCAATTAATCTTTAACAAAGGAAGCAAGGACGTGCAATGGGAAAAAAGTCTCTTCAGCAAATGGTGTTGTGAAAACTGGACAGCAGCATGCAAAAGAATGAAACTGGACCACTTTCTTATACCACACACAAAAATAAAACTGAGAATGGATTAAACACCTAAGTGTGAGACCTGAAACCATAAAAATCCTAGAAGAAAGCACAGGCAGTAACTTCTCTGACATCATTCATAACAGCATTTTTCTAGATATGCCTCCTGAGGCAAGGGCAATAAAAGCAAAAATAAACTACTGGGACTACATCAAAATAAAAAAGCTTTTTCACAGCAAAGGAGGGTGTTATACGCAACTAATGAATCATTGAACACTACATCAAAAACTAATGATGTACTATATGCTGGCTAACTGAACTAAATAAATAAATAAGTAAAACAAAACAAAACAAAAAAACAAAAAGGCAACCTATGAAATGGGGAAAGATATTTGCAAGTGACATATCCAATAAAGGGTTAGTATCCAAAATATATAAAGAACTGATAAAACTCAATACCAAAAACAAAAAAAAACACAAATAATCCAATTAAAAATGGGCAGAAGACATGAATAGACGCTTCTCCAAAGAAGATATCCAGATGGCCAACAGATACAAGCAAATATGCCCAACATCACTCATCATCAGGAAAATGCAAATCAAAACTACAATGAGATATCACCTCACACCTGTCAGAATGGCTAAAGTCAAAAAAAACAAGAAGCGGGGCGCCTGGGTGGCTCAGTCGGTTAAGCGTCTGCCTTCGGCTCAGGTCATAATCCCAAGGTCCTGCGATTGAGCCCCACATCGGGCTCCTTGCTCAGCGGGGAGCCTGCTTCTCCCTCTGCTTGTGCTCTCTCTCTGTCAAATAAATAAATAAAATCTTTAAAAAAAAAGAAAAAAAAAGAAGCAACAGGCGTTGGCAAGGAGGCAGAGGAAAAAGGAACCCTCATGCACTATTGCTTGGAATGCAAACTGGTGCAGCCACTCTGGAAAACAGTAGGGAGTTTCCTCAAAAAATTAAAAATAGAACTACCCTACAATACAGTAATTTCACTAGTGGCATTTACCCAAAGAAATGAAAACACTAATGCAAAAAGATATATGCACCTCTATGTTTATAGCAGCATTATTTACAATAGCCAGATTATGAAAGCAACCCAATATCCATCCATAGATGAATGGATAAAGAAGAGGTGGTGTGTGTATACAATGGAATATTACTCAGCCATAAAAAAGAATGAAATCTTGCCATTTGCAATGACATGGATAGAGCTAGAGGGTATAATGCTAAGTGAAATAAGTCAGTCAGAGGAAGACAAAAACATAAATTAACTCATGTGGAATTTAAGAAACAAAACACATGAACAAAGAAAAAAAGAGACAAACAAAATAACCAATTCTTAACTACAGAGAACAAACAGATGGTTACCAGAGAAGAGAGGTGGGGGGATGGGTGAAATAGGTGAAGGAGATTAAGAGTTATACTTATCATGATGAGCGCTGAGTGATGTATAGAAATACTGCATCACTATATTGTATGCCTGAAACTAATATAACACTATATATTAAGTATACCGGAATTAAAAAAAACTAAAATGAAATTAAGTAATTAATAATAAATAAACAGATGCATAATTTACTCACTGATTCCCTTATTACTAGGCGTTTAGAGGGCTCACAATTGTTCGCTATTATGAATAATGCTCTAATAAATATCTTTGCACTTGTAGTTTTTTCCCAGTATTTGGATTTCTCTGGGGAGGAGAATCCTAGATTCTCAAAAGTGGAATCCCAAATCCAAAGCTCAGTAAGTCATTCCCAGCTGCTTTCCAAAAGTTTAGTGATTTATACCACCACTGAAAATATAATCATTGTAGCTGACGTCCATTGAAAGTTTACAACATGCCAGGCACTATTTTGAGCCCTTCACATTCTGTTATCTTCTGCAATCCTCAAAACAACCACAGGAAGTAAGTACTAACACATTATGCCCACTGTACAGAGCAAGAAACTGGATACTGATGTTGTCACGCGCTACATTACTATGAAAAGATACAAGACTGAAATGGTGTCTCGTCATGGTTTTAATGTACATTTCTTTAGTAATTTTCACAACTGGGCATTTTTCATATTTTTACTTTCATGTGATACACACCCCACACAAATATTCCTTCTGTGAATTCATTCTTCCTGTCCTTTGCCCATTCATGCTCCGAAGTCTGCCCACTTATCAATTTATATGAATCATCCTCTAATAAAAATACCTCATGGACATATCTATCTGCTGAATACTTCCCTAGATACTATTTTCCTTTTGCTTTTACTAATTTTTAGATATAGACATATTTGATCATTTTACACAGTCAGAAAGGTAACTCTTCCAGTATATCTTAATATTTTCTATTACAAATTTTTACACAACTTAATCTCTTATTAGAAATTATTAGAAAATAACATCCTCTTCAAATGTTTTATAGGTATCATTTCTCTATTCTTCTAGATTGAAGATGAGTATGTCTGAATTTTGTTTGGGATATGTAATACACAACAAGCAATAATTAATATTTCAATAATAATTCAAATAAGCAATAATTAGTAGGAGAAACAAAACTCACTGTAAGCACAGCATGTGTAAAATATACGAAATCCTGTAGGATATCCAGATACATTATTTGTTTTGTTGACTGACAAACAACGCAACATACAAGAACTTCCAAAGAAACCATAATGGGTAATTATCCAATTATTACAAGTTTCGAATTGGCTTAAACTAGTTCCTTGATGACATTATATATTTTTAAAGATTTTATTTATTTATTTGAGAGAGAGAGAGAATGAGAGAGAGAGAGAGAGAGAGAGAGAGAGCATGAGAGGGGGAAGGGTCAGAGGGAGAGGCAGACTCCCTGCCAAGCAGGGAGCCCGATGCGGGACTCGATCCCGGGACCTCAGGATCATGACCTGAGCAGAAGACAGTAGCTTAATCAATTGAGCCACCCAGGCACCGTCTTGATGACATTAGAAAGGTAGGTATCGTCCAAAATTTAGAAACTGTAAAAAAAAATAATAAGCTATTCAACATGTAATGGCTCCTCTTACTAAAGCTTCCAACAGGAAGGTGAAGAAATGAAAATAAAATAAAAAGGAAAATAAAAGAGTGACGTTGAGCCCTTGGAATAAACAGTTAGGTGGGTATAATGAACTTTGAGGATTTTTCAGAGTATGCTGAGCTGTACAAAAAGAAGAAAGAGCTTAAATCTTAAACTCCATATATGCTTTAGGAACAATGAACAACATTCCCAAATATAGCGTTCATAGTATCAACTATTGATGAGATGGAATTCCATGATACGAAACAGCAATTTTTAATTCTGGGGTTCAAGACTGGATCTCAGGTAAACTGCTGGGGCAGACCAGCCAAGTGCCATGCAGGAATCTCAGCTCAGCCATGTTGGGCCCTGCTTGTCACCTATGAACAGCATCCCTCGTCACGAGGGCCAAATGAAACAAAAATCTCCCTCAGGTCACTGGCCAGCAATGTCCAGAGTTGCTTATCACAAGCTGGAAAAATGCCTTCTTTAAAACAAACACTTGTTTTTAATACCATACCAAGTGCTCAGCAATAGATCTTTCAGTTTACCATAAGAATTCTGAAACGTCTTCCCTGGAAGAGTTGTGCTGTGAACTCCACGTGAAGGGACAGCGTCTGAGACACAGACTCAGGAACAAATCAGAAGGCATCAGTCCTGGGATCTCAGCCACCCTCTCTTCCCTCCTCCCCTGCCTACACCTCCACCAGGATCCAGGGGAACGCAGCTCAGACCAGTTGTGCAGGTCACCGAATACTGGCACACCAAAGCGCTGGGAAGCCTGAAATGTCCTCTTCCGGAATGTAGCCAAAAGCAAGGGCTGTCTAGCTCAGAAATGCAAGCTAAACAGCCACATGTACCTGTGGTGCCCCCGACAGGCCGTGGCCGGGCCACCGATGGCATGTCCTCCGAGTAGATCCCTCGGGCGGCGACCGGGGCTTCAGCCGATGCCTGTGGCTGCTGGAGCTCTGGGGCCACCAGCTCCGAAGCCTGCAGCAAACCGGGGCCAAAACCTGGTCTGAAGGCAAAGCAAGCCCAAGCATCAGGACCACACTTTTCCCTGGCTCTGGAATTTTATTAGTTCCACTTTCAGCCCTACAGAAAAATAAGACCTCACTGTCTATTGGTGTATACATCTCCTCTCCTAGAACACGAGCTCCCTAAGGGCAGAGGCGTTTTCTGTTTGCTCACTGGCATATCTCCAGCACGAAGAACGTTGCCTGGAGTATGGCTGATGCTTGATAAATCTCTGCCAGATGACTGAAGAAGAAATGCCTTAGTTTACAGACTACATGAAGGTGCAGGTAAAATTCTAGGGCCTGTGCACCTCCAGCATCGGACTGAAGTGGTGGTTCCCAACCTCGGCTGCCCATGAGCATCTTTTAAAAACCCCGATGTCCGTGCTGCACCCCAGACCTATGAAAACAAGATCTCTAGAGGTGGGACCCAGATTCGGCTGTTCAGAGTTCCACTGATGATCCTGATACTCATCAAGGCTGAAAATCAGTGCTCTAAAGCGGAGGTTCTCAAACCTTTTGGTCTCAAGATGCCTTTACACTCATAAATTACTGAGGACTCCTGAGAACTTCTGTGTATGTGGATTATATCTATAGATATTTCTTGCGTTCAGAATTAAAATGAAAACATTTTTAAATACCTATGTTTAAAAGTAATTTAAAAATAATATTAAGCATCTTACCTGTTAATATTTTCTCATGAAATCAACTTTTATTATCTAACCCCTCCCTCCCCAAAAAGTAGTGAGAAGAGTTTTACATTTTTTCAAATTTCCTTATAAAGACATCTGGATTCTCATATACTTTGTATTCAATCAGTTGCTGTTAAGTTATTTTAAGAAGAAAATCTGAACTCACATAAATACATAATTGGATAAGGAAGGCTTTAATTGCCTTTTCAGATGATACTCAAATATTTCAGAAAAATATTCTTCTTTGATACACCAAAACTCAACAAAGTTTCCTTAAGGGTTAGTGGCAACATGGAATCTGAAACAGTGTCAATTAACTTTATATAATCTGTTACAGAAATCCCACTGTTCTGTTTTATACTTTGAATGGACCCATGCATGATTTTATGACATAAGTCATTTGGAAAATATGAGTTCACTGAGTTTTGCAAACTTTCTAGATATTGATACATTTCATTTGGTAGTATCCAAAAAAAATCACATTATTAATATCATCACTGAGCTCATCAGAAAAGTCTTTTAAGTACTAGGAAGTTGTGAAGCACCCAGTGGCAGACAAAATTCAAATTTTCACTTGAAAGCTCAGCTTTATCGGTGGCAAGAAATCCTGTCAGTTATTTTTCTGGAAGTGACCGGCTCACTTCCTTTTTTTCAAGACAATGTCTGCCAAGCAATCCAAGTCTGAACAACGATGTCTGCCAATTGATCACTCAAAGAGAAAACATAGCAGCAGTACAGATCAGTTCCCAAACAAATGAACAGGAGCTTTTCCTTCAAAATTCCATACTACACAAAGCGCTTTATATGTACTTCCTCTTTTGCTCTACAGATGATTAAAGACTCAAGGGTTTACTTTTGATAAAATTAATAATTTGTACTACTTCACCGAGGACATGCTAACATAACGAACAAACTGGCATTTTTAAAAATCTGATTGCATGGTGAAGAATATGAGGACTACTCAGGCCATCTGGTGCCTCTGCCTTGTTTCATGCTAAGGTTCCAGCAGTTTCATCCACCACTGCTTCTGCCCCTCAGTGTAGGCATCAGCACAAAAAAAAAAAAAAAAGAAAGAAAGAAAAAGTTAAATAATGCTTTAGTATTATTATGAAACACAGTTTTGACTTCATAGACACTCCTCCCCAAAAGGGTCTCAAGGACCCTCTCTCTAGGGATCTCAGAATTCCACCTTGAGAACCACTCTTCTAAAGAAACTCAAGAATATCTAATTACAGTTCTTTGCAAATGACAACCAGTAATTAACAGATCAAATTAGTTTGACGAGAACATAGACTGACTTGCCCCTATTCTATAGTCTTATTTCTGGAGCACATCTCGTAAATTGAGACCCAGGCTATTTATATTGCTCTCTTTAGATAATTGTTACTGTTTTAGGTTGACCTCAGAGAGAGATGTCTGACATCTCTGACCTTACAGATCTGAGAGCGTAACATAAGGCATGCTCCTCCTTCAACATCTGTATATTGGAGTTCACCTAATTAAATCATATTCTCTTGACCATCCACCCAACAACTAGCTCTTGCCCTTTACTTATTTCTACTTTACCCAATTATCCTCCTCCTGGCTACATGTGCATCCTTTTTATCCTCAATTGTGTGTTCACAGTTCAGTGTGATCCAAATCACCCAGAATCCTTTAACTTGAGTAACCACAAAATTGGTCATCCAAACCAGAACGCTTTTGAGAGTCAAAGTTATTAATAATTACACTAGAAAACAGGTGTGAACTGAACTGGGCAAACCAGATCAGATGCCCCCCCGCATCATTAACTTCTGCCCCAGATCACCTAATCTTCACGTGCTCTCTTTACCTTTGTTGTTTTTGGACCACGAAGCAGTGCCTGGGTTGGGGAAAAATAAAACAAGCCCCTCTGAAAATGAGGGCAAAGAAAGAACAGAAAAAATGAGGAAGCAGGTAACATTCCTACTTCTGTGTGACTTGTGGTCATTGAAAAGATAGCTGAGTATGATTTCTGAGATTAACTCTGACAATTCCTTCTTTGTAATAAATCATTTGCCCACTCGTGTGGGTCTGCTTATGGACTCTCTATTCTGTTCCTCTGGTCTATTTGTCTAGCTTTACAGTGATAACACACTGTCTTCATTACGGTTACAGTAATTTACAACCTTTAGAATAGTCTTCACACACTATTCTTCTTTTTCTCAAAGTGTCTTGAATATTGTTGGGCCTTTGCATTTCCATATAAGTTTTAAAATCAGCTTGTCAGTTTCCACATATTTTTTTAAAGACCACAAACTACCAGGATTTTGAAAGAGATCACAATGAATCTGTAGATCACTTACAGGAGGACCGATATTTTAAACATACTGAGTTGCCCGATCCATGAACACTTTCTTTAGAGGACTTGACTATCTAGTGAGATTAAATCTGAGATATTTTATATTTTTTAATGCTATTTTGTACAGTATATTTTGTCTTTTGCTCATAAACAGAAATAAAACAGATTTTTGTATGCTGATCTTATATCCAGCTATTTTGTAATTTATCTATCTTGCTAAATTCTCTTAATTCTAACAACTTATGTGTTGACATTTAAGGATTTCCTACTTAAAAAATATATCATTTGAGAATAATAACAGTATTATTTCTTTCCTTGAATTCCTTAATCTTTTTCTTTTTTTCTTTTTTTTTTTTGCTTCACTACACCATCTAGACTCCCAGAGCAATGCTGAATAGAAGTAATGGCAGCAGCTATCTTTGTCTTGCTCCTATTCTCAAAAGGAGAGCTTTTAACATTTCAACCTTAAATCACATTTGCTGAGATAACTGTTATCAGATTAGACAAGTTCACTTCTATTCTTTATTTGCTAAGATTTTTACCATGAATGGATGTTGAATTTTATCAAATGCTGTATTTAGTGAAATGAGATTTCCCTCCTTTATTCTCCTCAAAGTAGTGAATTGGATTGGTTGATTTTTCAAAATGTTAAATTACCCTTGCATTGTTGGAATAAATCCAGTTTGGCTGTGATATGATATCCTCTTGAATACAATGCTGGGTATGTTTGCTAATATTTAGTTTCAAGTTTCTGTATCTACGTTCATGAGTAAAACTCATGAACCCTTAATGTTTTCTTTCCTGCAATTTCCATGTCCTTGTCATCCTTGATATCAAGGATATGCAGTCTTGGGGCACCTGGATGGCTCAGTCAGTTAAGTGTCTGCCTTTGGCTCAGGTCATGATCCCAGCACCCTGGGATCAAGCCTTGCATCAGGCTCTCTGCTCAGCAGGGAGCCTGCTTCTTCCTCTGCCTCTGCCTGCCCCTCCCCCTGCTTGTGCTCTCTCACTCTCTCTCTCTGTCAAAAAAAAAAAAAAAAAAGGTTATGCAGTCTCAAAGAATGAGATGGGGAGCATTCTCTGTTTTTATATTCTTTAGATAAATTTGTAGAACACTGGCATGTTTTTTTCCTTTGGTGTTTTTGGCAGAATTCACCATTGAAGCCCAGAGTTTTCTTTTTTTTTTTTTTTTTAAGATTTTATTTATTTATTTGACAGAGAAAGACACAGAGAGAGCAGGAACACAAGCATGGGGAGTGGGAGAGGGAGAAGCAGGCTTCCGGCGGGGCAGGGAGCCCGATGTGGGGCTCGATCCCAGGACCCTGAGATCATGACCTGAGCCAAAGGCAGACGTTTAATGACTGAGCCACCCAGGCGCCCCAGCCCAAAGTTTTCTTTGTGGGAAGAATTTTAGGAATGATTTCAATTTTTTTAATAGTTATATGACAATTCGGGTTTTCTCTTTCTAGGAATTCTTCCATCCATCTTATATTGAAAAAAAAATCAATTTAATTTATTTCCTGATAAATTCTACCCACAACATGGGGCTCAAATTCACAACCCCAAGATCAAGGGTCACATGCTCACTGACTGAGCCAGCCAGGTGTCCCAGAATTTTTCCATTTAAATTTTTTTTAAAGATTTTATTTATTTGAGAGAGAGAGAGAACTCGAGAGAGAGCATGAGAGAGAGAGTGAGCACAAGGAAGGGGGAGGGGTAGAGGGAGAAGCAGACTCCCTGCCGAGGGACCCTGGGATCACGACCTGAGCCAAAGGCAGACACTTAACTGACTGAGCCACTTTCCATTTTAAATTTCACAAAAATGTGTTCATAAAATCTTCTTAGTATCTGTAAAATTTTTTAAAAATCAGCCTTTTAGAAATCTGTCAAAATCTTTTTTGTTTCTGAAAGATCTGGATTAGTATGTCCTTTTACATTCCTCTTATTGATAACGCTATACAGCTTACTTGATCAAGCTCTCCAGGGATTTATCAATTTTATTAGCTTTTTTCAAAGAACCAACTTCTAGCTTTGTCAATCTTCTCTATTATGCTATTTGTTTTTCTATTTCATTACTTTCTTTTTATTTTATTTCTTTTTAAGATTTTATCTATTTATTTGAGAGAGAGTGAGCGAGACAGAGATAGCACAAGCAGGGGTAGAGGGAGAAGGAGAAGCAGACTCCCCTGCTGAGCAGGGAGCCCAACACGAGGCTCCATCCTGGGACTCTGGGATCATGACCTGAGCCGAAGGCAGACGCTGAACCAACTGAGCCACCCAGGTGCCCCTATTTCATTAATTTCTATTATTTTTATCATTTCCTTCCTTCTACTTCCTTTAGGTTTAATTAGATTTTTTTTTTTTAACATTGAGATGATGCTTAGATCACTGGTTTTCAGCCATTTTTCTTTTCAAATATATTTTGATTCATTTAAGGCATCAAAGTCCTCCCTAAGCATGCCTTGAGGTGTATCCTACAACTTTCACTATGTTGAATTTTCAAGACTCCGAGCTCCATGAGTCTGTCCAAAGTTTTGCTCAGCTTCTCAGTCGCCTCCTCTGGAATTAGCAGGTGCCCCTGGGAGAAAGTTTGCCCAAGAGGCAGGGCTCATCTCTCTGAATTTCCTGGATCTTGGCCCCATACCACTTCACTGTCCTATTAGCTATCTGGGTTTGGTTTTGTTTTATTTTAACATCTTGTCTAGCTATTCCAGTTGCCCTCAGCAAATTATCTAGTCTGTCACTACTGGAAGCAGACCTTAAATTCCACCTTTTTTCTCCTCTTCAGATTAGCCCAAGACAACACACAACTCAGAAGTTTTCATCTGCTCTAAATATTAGCTCAAAGAAGTGAGTTTACAAAATTTTTAAAAACAGCCTATGTGAGGAAGTTCTAATGCATTTTCTCTTGAAAACTTTACCTTGGCAATGGGCCTGATGGGGGAGTCATTCCATAGTCTTCATATCTCTGGAAGAAAACCAAAAGAAGATGAAGATTAACATTCCACATTTATTAGAAAGTGACAACAGCAAACTTAAAAATTTAGGCTTGCAAGATTAACTTTAAAGAGAATTATTTTCTCATAAAACAGTTGGCATGCCATTTAAGCATTCTGCCATTCAATAACGCCAGAAGTTTCAGCTTGGGGAACTGGGCTACCAGGCTTTAAAAAAACAGACAACTCATTTCCAGACCTTTCTTTCTTTTATAAAAAATATGAGTAACAGACAGCCTTCCAGCCTCTGTTCTTCCCTCCAGGCTCATTCTCTACAAATCTGTATCTTCTGCTAAAAAGGTAGGCCTTCGTGGCCACACTTAGTACAAATGACTCTGCCAACATGGGCCAAGATGGTCACCAGAGCCACTGGGCTTCCAGCAGCAATTCAAATACACTCACAAAACTAAAGTATGTGAGCACTGAACTGTGTTAATAGAACATTGTGAAAAGAGAACCAGAAATTAGAGAGACACTTAAAGATGAAGTTACATTCAGTTTCTGAAAGTTTTCTGGTTCCAAGGAGGCCCAACCATACTCCCGCCCTTATATTCCATCCGGTGCCCCATAGCCTTCAGTCAACTCTTTTTACTTGAGCTAATCTCAGCTAACCACGTGTTCTTTGGCTAGAACAATATCAATATGGCATCAGATTTAAAGAAATGTGTATCTATGTTGTGTTCCTCATGAAATCAACACATCCCGACCCTAACATTCATGGGACTCCTACTTCAACACTTCTTTCAACAGCTGTGAATCGCTATTTGGGAATCAGATACCTTAAAAGAGCAGTTACTCTGGACAGAGTCCATCCAACTGCAGTCAGCTTGAACCAACTGGTTGTCCAGGATCCAGAGCTCCCAGTGAAGTTATTAAGTCAGCCTTGTTTCTGGACCTGCTCTCATATTAGACATTTTTTAAGCTGTCATTTAATGAATTAGTATTTTGTGGTAAGAGCTATAAGCACTAACTCCGGGCCCAGTAACAGCAACAAAGGGCTCACTACCTCTATTTTATAGATGAAATCAACTCACAAGGAAGTTATTTCCTCCTAATAAGTCTTTCTGACTCAAAAGACCAGCTTTTAACCACCACTGCACCGCATTGCCCATGGTTCCCAAACCAGATTTCCCCCTTGAATGAATTTCTACTTTATGAAGAAAAGTAGAGGCTTTGGAACCAAACAGACTAGCCAAGCTACTCAACTTCCCTGGGCCTATTTCCTGATGCCAAGAAGGACAGAATGAACCCTATACCTCATACAGTTTGAAGGGATTATTACATATGAAACTGTGCTCAAATTACTTCATCTTCTGACCCTCTCTGCTTCCATCCCCTTGGCAGAGGGAGGGAGAGGAGAACCTTGTAGAGTTCCCCAGCTGAGGTCAAACAGCCAAAGGGGATTATGGAAGAAGGGAAGAATAGAAGGAAAAGGAGTTTCAATTCCTTTTCAAATAATTAAAGGGAAATCTGAGACCAGATAAAGATTATTCACAGTGGCCCCTGTGTTTTTCAGCTGTCTGAATTTTTTAAACATACTCATGTGCAAAATAAAACAAAACAAAAAAAGATCAAAGTTTACATATCAGGATTTCAGGAGGTCCAGTAAGTGATAAACTAATACAAAAACAGTGAAAACTAGCTGTCCACTCTACCTGTTTTGTTATTGTGGTACAAGGCATTTTAACTCTGTTGTAATCAGAAAAAGGAAGTGATTTTTCCAGATAGTGCACACGCCAATGAAAAAGATTAAAAAAAAAAAAATCATAGACATAATGACAGGTGTTTACTTTAAGTGGGTCACATCTATATAAAACTTTGGGCAACACAATAGAATTTTAAGGTTTCAACCAGTGATGTCAAATAAAAATCCCATTTTAATGCATCCCTTCCTTCTATTCAGTATAAAACAGGCCAATAGAGCAAGAAAGCCATGTTAAATGGTTGGTGGAGTCTGGGATGAGTCTGTTTGTAAAATGTCCTGGTTCAGACAATCATACTTGGTACTTAGAAGACTGCTCCAGGGAGGTTAACTTTACTCAAGAAAGCAGAAATACCACCTATCAAGTGGCCTTCTCACCAATGCATAACTAACACCCTTACACTGGCAAAAAAAAAAAAAAAAAAAAAAAGACTAAAAAATGTCATTAGATGGTAAATCAAGGTTCATGTGGTAACTGAGGACATCCTGAAATCTACATTATTGTAGTTTTTACTGTAGTCAGAAGAAGGGAATAAAGGATGATCAGGTTCCTCCTGGCAACAAATGGTAATTTATGACCAATTATATGAGATGATAAAATTATAAACATGATAAAATTATATGAGATATGCACAGATATAGCCAATGATTCTGGTTTTCCACTAGATTAGCTATCATCATCAAAACATATAAGGGTAACATCAAAGGTCCATGATGAGAAAATCACTCAGTTAAGAGTATTTATAAAAATCTTGCTATGGATTTGAATTCTTGGTTAAGATGGTGGATTAAGGCATTATCACGGAATTGTTCATCTCCAAAACCTATGAACAATGAACAAATAATCAGTCAAAAATTATTGCTAAAATTCACCAGCAGAAACCAAACAAGCAAAGAAAGGAACAGTTTCATGCCATAAACTGAGAAAACTAGCAGCCAAGGAACAAAAAAAGGACTATGGTTGCATAATGGTAAAGTAGTAAGAATAGCAATTCCTTTTTTAAAGTTCAAACATGAGACGATAAAAGAATAGAGTGAATGGAAATGGGAGACCACAGAATTGAAATGATTTGGGACCTAATTATTGGTGGAAATGATTTGAGGACCGAAACAATGCCATTATGACTCTAAGAAATCAACTAGCAGGGAAAAGAATAGATATGGCTGCAAATCAAATCAATGCCACAGAGAAAAGGCCCATGATAATCATAAAGAAGGCAGAGAAACCAGGACAATGTAGCTAAAGCCATTAGAGAATAAAAGGATAGGTATAGGAAACAAAGATGAGCCAACATGAAGATAACTGGTATCTTCGACTACGATAAATAGAGTAAGAAAATTATTTCAGATACAAAAGCAAGTTTCCCTTAAGTGAATGAAAGAGCTGAATCTGAAGATCAAATGGACACTGGCTGTTCATAGGGGAAAATGATTCAGAAAAACTGGCTGAGTGCCCAGAATTATTTACGCTTCCTAGCAGTTAGGGTACATACATACATCCCTTACCAGGAAAGGGGAAATTAAGATGGCCACAGATTTCTTCATAGAACAATTCAGAAAGCATTAGGAACAGAGAGAAGTAACATATAGACGCCAGCAGCGAACAAGGTCATGTTAGAAAGTGATATGAGAACTCTTCCTTTGCAAAACCCAAGATTAAGTCAAGCGGCTCCTGTAGGCTTCCCTCCTGGTGCTGAGTTCCCCTGTCCTCCATAGGATGCATCTACTGTGTCAGCCTCTCCGCTCCCAGCCTGCTCAACACCAATAAATGGCATTTTACATGTCAGCCACCACCCTCATATCCTACATTCGAGACTGGAGGCAGAGGGACAATCAGGAAGCTCTTACAATGGTGGCGAGATATGAAGGTGGCTCCGACCCACATAAAGCGGAGGATTCGAGAGGAAGAATCTACAAAGCTGCAGCAGGTTGAATTGACCCCAACTCCCTGTCCTTGCCCTTCAGTGTAGTCTACCATTTCAACTGCACCTGCTAATATGTACATTTCTTGCCCCTTGTCCTTTCATCACATTTGCCTGAGAAAGCCCCACTCCTGGATCAATCCAACTGCCCGTTTTCTCCTTGTCTCCACCTGGATATCCAACTGCTGATCAACAAAACTACAGAACTTTAATTTGTGCCACTATAATTTTGCGACAGTCATTCTCATCAGGGGCTTCAATGCCACTAAGTAATTATTCTTATGTCCCTAAACGGTTTTCTTTCACTCTCTACTGTAAGTATGCACAATCTCTGCTCTCCCTCAAATCTCTTGCCCTGCCACACTTCGCTCGTTCTCAATAAATGACTCTGCTTTTTCCACTGTGAAAAATAGAAGCCACAGTGAGATGGGAGGCCTCTCAACTTCCTGTCACCCACTACAAACATGATTATATCTGTACCCAACTCCTCCCTCCTCCTGCTATTAAATTGGAAGGAATATATCCCCTCATTTCTAAAGATAATTCCTCCTTCGGCACTCTGGACCCGCCTTCCTGTATCATCGAACTCTCCCTCTAGACTGGCTCAGTGCCATCAGCAATAAACACACTGAGGCCATGAAGATTTTTCTTTTCTTAAATCCATTCACTGCATCATGCTAGTTGGGGCCACCAACATCACTCACCAAGATTACTAGGACAACTTCCTAAGTGTCTCCCTGCTTCTGGTCTTGCACCCTAACAAACAATTCTCCAGTCTAAAATGAGAGCAATCTGTCAAAAAGGCACACTGAATTATGTCTTTAGACTGCTCAAAACTCTTCAGTGTCTGGCCATTACCCTCAGGATGAGGGCTAAGCTCTACCCCTATCAGCTTCCTGCTTTTTCTCTCCTGCCTCATGTCTCACCGCTCTTACTTCTCACTCTATATTAGTCGCCCAGAACTAATTTCATTGTTAAGAACATTTTGGAGCAAAAATTTTAACAGCCTTATTTCATTATAATTGACACACAATGAACTGCACATATTCAAATATACAAATTGTGAAGTTTTGGCAAATGTTGGTACCCGCACACCATGCTCATAAACCAGACAGTGAACATATCCATCACCACCCAAGCTTCCTGGTGCCCCTCTGTTATCCCTCAGCCCCATACCCTTTCCCAAATTCACTCCATCCCTAGGCAACCACTGATCTGCTTTCTGTCACTATAGATTAGTTTGCATTTTCTAGAATTACATATAAATGGAATCATACAATATGCACTTTTTTTTTGGTTGAGGGGGTGGCTTCTTACCCTCAGCATAACTATTCTGAGACCCAAACAT